TTTTTTTTTTTTGGTTGTTGTTCTTTGAGATCTCTGTTTTTTTTCCGTCATATTGCTGTTTAAACTGGAAAAAGAGCAGAGAAATTTTTTCCTGTTCTTATAAATGCCTTTGTAAGTAATTTACAGTCTTTTAAAATAAATACTAGGCACAGAAGATGGCAAGAAACATATACCAAAAGTGGGTCTCATCCTTTTTGTTATAGTTTCTATGCTTCTATACTATGTGGTTTGAGAAAGAGAAAATACTAAAATATAGTAAAACAGTTTTAATTCAGAAGTGAGCCATGTCAGTGCTTCTATAGGTTCCTTAAATTCTTGTCTCTGCAGTAACAGAAGTGTCCTTTTCCTCTGCAGACCTTGATGAATGTGAGAATGGAGAAGGCTGCTGTGCCCAGCTCTGCATCAACTATTCAGGAGGCTATGAATGCGGTTGTCAGGAAGGCTTTCGGATAAGTTCCGATGGTTGTGGATGTGACGGTAAATTCTTGAGATCACACATGAAATAATTGATGCAATGGGGCAATCAGTGGAGGAGGAACATCTGAGGCAGAGAGCTAAGGTGGGAAGGGGAAGGTTTTGACACTAAGGAGACTTGGATTTCTATGTGGTTCTACCATTTACTATGGTGTGAACTTGGGTGACTAACTGCTATGAGTCTTAGATCCTCATCAGTAAAGAGTTGACAATCATAGGACTAGTGGGTAAATTAAGGAAAGTTACAAATGTAAAGTGTCTAGGACAGTGGTTAACACACAGAAATCACTCAACTAAAAGCAGCTATTATTATTATCATATTCTTTGGTTCATAATCCCTTTCACCTAATTTAATATATACAAGTGTATTTCAAAAAGTTTGTAGAAAAATAGAATTAAAAGATAAAAAATCTTTTCAGGAACTTTTTGGACTCCCCTTATACATGGGCAAATGAGAAATTCTGGCAGGCCATAGCACACTGCCATGGGAATAACCTAGATAAGCATGGCCAAATTAGAAAGTTGGTTACTGAAAGTCATTTTCAATCATTTATTTTTTCTAGCTTAAGAGCAGTAGGAAAAGGATTGCCAGTTCATGAGCCACAATCCAAATCTGTATCAGAATTCTTTTTATATCTGATATTAATATAGCTAATGCAAGTTTTAAGATGAGTCATTTTGCAATTTTCTAATTTGTTAAAAGTTGTCCAGTTACCTTTCAGGTGATTTCTAGCTTATGCTTTTTTTGTTTGTTTTGTTTTGTTTTTTAATATA